TTTATCTGAGTTTGAAGAGATATCGGAGGAATGATGAGAAGATTCATAATCAGAGTCTTCCTGATTATGAAAGACTTGTTCTAATTCTGAGTTAGACTCATTATCAGAACTTGATTCAATGAGATTGAGAAGTTGAGTTTTAGTATCTTCATCAATTTCAAGATTACTAATTTTGTTTTTGAGTGGACATTTATTGGAATAATGACCAGTCTTATTGCACTTCCAGCAAGTAATACTTGAATAATTTTTTGAAATTTTTCTTTTTGAAAAATGTTTTCTCTTTGAAAATTTTCTTTTGTTAGAAAATTCTTCTGGATATTTTTTGAAATATTTTCTTTTAGAAATTTTCCTATTTTTAGAAAAAAAATTTGATTTTGAAGATGGAGGAATGATCTTTTCAAAATCATATTGTTTACAAAAAGATCCAAGTTCTTTTCGATTCTTAGACTTTTCTGTTTTCAATTTGGCTTTGAGTTTTAAATCATTACACAAATTTAAAGCTTCTTTATTAATAAAATTAATAATTTCTCCATAGGTAAGTGTTTGAAGATTATCAAATTATTGGAAAATAGAATTTTTGACTCTTTATGCAAAGAGATTTGGAAGACCTGAAATATAATTTTCTTTCCAAAAAGATTATTGACAATCTTCTCTGATCATTATACAAGATAAAAACATATCTTTGTCTTATCGAAAATCTTGTAATTTTGAATATCTTAAATTTATTAAAATATCATTTTGCATTTGAACAATATTCTCTGGAGTACCAATAAGATGTTTAATAATAGTAAAATCAAGAACGGTAAAACTATCACTAATTTCATTTTCATTTGAATCATGAATAATATTATTATTTTCATCACGCTTACCAGCTGAAAAGATAATATCCTTCTCAGTTTGAGAAAGATAATTATCCCACTATTGATCAAGTTGTCTAGTGAATCCAAGAATAATATTATTGGTAGCATCTCTTTGAGATGTAACTTTTGCAAGATATATATATGTGTATATATATATATTGTAAAGTTATCGTTTTACACCTTCTAAAATTAGTGAAAATGGTAAAAAGAAGTTATACGATCTTGGTGAAATGTTATATAAAATAAGATGATTATGGTGAAATAAAATAAAATTCAATTGTCATGGTGACACTAATTATAAAATTTTATGATCACAATGAAATAAATCAAATTAGGTGATTATGATGATACTAAATATAAAATTTGATCGCCATTGTTGTATTTAACTTTTAAATTAAAACTACCATTTTGCTAATTAAAATTTTCTAGTAAAAAATTTAAAAAAATGAAAAAAGAAAAGTCAAAATCTTTTTATTCACGTGTTTTTAAAGCTAACGTCTATTCTCCAGTTTTACCCTCTTTCGCTTCGGACAGGCCACCGCCTTGCGCCGCCGCAGACCACCACCGCCAGCCACCGGTAACTTCCATCACCGGTTTCTCTTTGATCTGTACCTGTTATTTTTATTCTTTCAATTTGAAATTAAAAAAAACACACAAAAAGGTCATTTTCCACTCAATCTTAAACCCTGATTCCGAATTCCCTTCTTGTTTCTTAGTAATTCGGGAAATGGTTTAATTTTTATTTTCATGTTCTCTATTTAAACCCTAATTCCACGATAGAGAAATTGAAATACGAAAGGATTCAGAGGAGGATTAAAGAATGGCAATAGCAGCACCAGAGCAGCTAAATATAAGCGAAGTGCCAACATGGGGTTCGCGAGGTGTCGACTGCTTCGAGAAATTGGAGCAGATTGGTGAAGGAACTTATGGGTATTCTGTTATTTCCTTTCAATTTGCTTTGAAGATTCTTCTTTCTTTCTCTGCATATGGATCTGAATTTTGTTTTTAATTTATTTGTTATTTTTCCTCATAAATTCGTGTTTGTAGGCAAGTTTACATGGCCAGAGAGATCAAAACAGGGGAAATTGTTGCTTTGAAGAAAATTCGAATGGACAATGAAAGAGAGGGGGTATGATTGCTTATCTGCATAACATCCACATTCTATTAATTTTTATATTAAGGATATGGCTGTAAATCAATGATTATTGTAGCAACTTGCGGATTAGTAACCTGACCACTAATTTGTGCTTACAGTTCCCTATAACTGCCATACGTGAAATTAAAATCCTCAAGAAGCTGCACCACGAAAATGTAATCAAGTTGAAAGAGATTGTAACTTCTCCAGGTAATTTTTGAGGGCACTTCTATTTTAATTACTTCATTATTTTATGTTGTCATTTTATTTTCTAAATGTTATTCCATCGCATTCGTGTAATCACATCTTAAGTTTGTGATGTTATCCAGGTCCTGAGAAGGATGAGCAAGGTCCACTGGGTAAGCAACTGATATATTTTCTTATCTGTTGAGTTTAGTTTTTCTTGATCACATTCTGTTCTCTTGCTGAATCATTGTCATTATTTATGTTCATTAAAACCTTCTTGATTAATCTGATTAACTCTTTTGATTGATATCTTGTGTTGTGTTCTCTTTTGGTCTCCCAGATGGTAACAAATACAGAGGTGGAATTTACATGGTTTTTGAATACATGGACCATGATTTGACTGGTCTAGCCGATCGTCCTGGAATGAGATTTTCTGTGGCACAAATAAAGGTATGACAGTTTGTGTGAAGATGCAAGATTATTTAATCGCTGAATGTCAGATGCTTCTGGTGGAAAAGAAGAGTGACAATCAGATAATTGATTTTCATGTTCTTTCTCTTCTTTAGTGCTACATGAGACAGCTTTTGACAGGGCTTCACTACTGTCATGTAAATCAAGTACTTCACCGTGATATTAAAGGTTTAATTTCAAAACAAGCATCCAGCTTTAGTTTTGCATCCATTTTACGAGGCTAAAATTCGATTTACTCAAATTTTGCTTGCAGGTTCTAATCTTTTAATAGACAATGAAGGAAACTTGAAGCTTGCAGATTTTGGTCTTGCCCGGTCGTTCTCAAGTGATCACAATGCTAATCTTACAAACCGTGTAATAACTTTATGGTATAGGTACGCTTCAGGAGAGACCTAATGTTTTGTCTTAAACTAGACAGAATTAGTTTCTCAGCTAATTGGATCTCTCTTGAATGTTTTTAATCTCCTAGGATTCAGTTGATAATCGTGACTTAAATTTTGTAGACCACCAGAGTTGCTCCTCGGTACCACGAAGTATGGTCCAGCAGTTGACATGTGGTCAGTTGGTTGCATCTTTGCTGAACTTCTACATGGGAAACCAATCTTTCCAGGGAAAGATGAGGTAGCTGAGTTTTACTATAGGTTAAAACTCTAAAGTAAACTTTGTAAAAAGGTCAAATTTCTTGATTCCATTGATACAATAATCGAGAGATTATATTTCTCTCGGTCCTTGGATGTCCTAAATCTAATTGTAGGAAGAACCAAACTTCTAGGTCACATTAATTAAAGAACTCCTACATTACAAAGAATTTGATCAAACTAATAATACATAACCCTATCCTAATTGAACAAGGACTCCAAGAGTGCCGTTGTAGAACACCAGGTCAATAATCGTTTTAAACATAATATACTTGCTATAATGTGTAGAATTATAGAAATTTCTTTGATGCACCTAATTGATAAATTATCAAATTGTTTCAATTTGCCAAAAGTGCCAGAACAGAGTGCCAAGATGGTAATTAAGTTTTAAAATTGTCACTACACTGGATATGGGTTCATGGAAAATTACAAACCAGCTTGGGTAACTGAGAACAATTAAAATAAACTCAAAATGGATAGATCCCCATAGTATTGAGAGTAAGATTACAGTAAGAGGCATCGATGGGGATTTCTCAATTCAGGCCGAAGAAGCAATTCCACCTGATTTTTGAATCAGACTGACTGCAATATTTTTCTGTATGCGACGACCAACTAGAGTACCTTCCACTTCTAATAGGCTATCTACTAGATCAGAATTTCTCAATGAGGAAGTGATCCCAATTTCCTCTTGACTCAAAATGGATAGATCCCCATAGTATTGAGAGTAAGATTACAGTAAGAGGCATCGATGGGGATTTCTCAATTCAGGCCGAAGAAGCAATTCCACCTGATTTTTGAATCAGACTGACTGCAATATTTTTCTGTATGCGAAGACCAACTAGAGTACCTTCCACTTCTAATAGGCTATCTACTAGATCAGAATTTCTCAATGAGGAAGTGATCCCAATTTCCTCTTCATGTTCGGATAGAGACAAATTTTCTTCATATTAAAATATTACCATAATTGCCATGATATGCTGTAGGAATTTGACTAGATTTTCTAGTTCTTTTTGGTTAATATGTCAATAGTTTTTTCAATATTTTCTGTCATCTATTCCTACTGTGTTTTTGTAGTTATTTTGTTGTTTTTGTTCATAGCCAGAGCAATTGAATAAAATTTTTGAGCTATGTGGGCCTCCAAACGAGGATATTTGGCCTGGGGTCTCAAAGATTCCTTGGTACAACAATTTGAAACCGTCAAAGCCAATGAAAAGACGTCTTAGAGAGGTTTACAGACAGTAAGTAATAAATGTGTCAATTGTCATATCTGTTCAGTTGATTAATTTTGTATTTTAATTTAAATTAATTTGACGTATATATCTGCTAATTATAGCTTTGACCGGCATGCGTTGGATTTACTTGACAAAATGCTGACTCTTGACCCCTCTCAGGTACCATCTCTTAACTCTCAAGTTTTACCTTTCTCTTGAACTTTGTTCATAATTTTTACCTCTTTGTCCAATACTATCTCAAGATCTTGGCACTTGCTCTTATTTGCACATATTAATGTAGTAGATAGGTGCATATACAATTTGTAGCTACTGACATTATGCCTTCTCGTGATTGAGTAATTGATTATTATGGAACTGTATTGATTATTAATCTTGTTAAGTTTATTATTCCTTTTTAATATTCTGAAGCTGCGAAGGATGTTCTTGATGCCAAGTATTTCTCAGTATCACGTCTAGAATTTGTTGCTGACATGATGTTATACTGTTCCATGATTGGCTAATTTATTGTCATAGAAACTTGTGTTGTTCTTTAACCTTTACTAAGGTTTTTCCTTACTATTTTATTCTACTTCCATTCTGAAGAGAATATCAGCAAAGGATGCTCTTGATGCCGAGTATTTCTGGACGGACCCATTACCGTGCGATCCCAAGAGGTTTAAATCTCTGAACCCTTTCTGTGTCATTCTTTATTCTAAAGCAGTTATTCTATTTTGGGTAATGAAGAAGTCGTTCCTTAATTAAATTTGTTATGACAGATGATCATGGCTATAGCTACTTTTTTTCCTTTTCATTGTAATTTAACTTCATTTTTGTCAAGGGTTTTGCTACTCGTACACTGAGTGGGGGCCCGCGATTTTTTATTGGATGCGGGCCCCCCTCTTTTGTGAGGGGGTGGACAACCGTCAAATTCCTTTTGTCAATTGTCATAAATGTTCTTTCCAAGCAAAACTTCAAATGTGTTATCATTAGTGCCTTACCCTTTTCACTGGAATTATGTCTCTTAGTTTACCCAAATATGAATCTTCACACGAGTTCCAGACGAAGAAAAAGCGTCAGCAACAGCGCCAACATGAAGAAAATGCGAAACGCCAGAAAGTACAACACCAACAACAGCATTCTCGCCTTCCACCAATTCAGCAGTCTGGACATGCACATGCTCAGATGCGACCTGGCCCAAATGTACCAATGCATGGGTCACAACCTCAGGTAGTTGGAGGACCGAGCCATCATTATGGAAAGCCAAGGGGACCTTCACAAGGACCTGGCAGATACCCACCTGGTGGAAATCCGTCTGGAGGATACAACCACCCAAATCGTGGTCAAGGTGGAGGTTATGGTAGTGGCTCGTATCCACCTCAAGGACGGGGACCTCCATACGGTTCAAGTGGCATCCCTGGTGCTGGTCCTCGAGGAGGTGGAGGCAGTGGCTATGGCTCCGGAGGTCCAAATTATCCTCATGGTGGTCAATATGGGGCTTCTGGGACTGGACGTGGCTCAAACATGGTGTCTGGGAACAGGAATCAACAATATAATTGGCAGCAATGACATGCATCCATAAGAATGGCTTCGTGGTGAGATTCAATAATGATGTTCGTGCTCTCTTTTCGATCACAGTGGATTGTTGTACTCACTGGCGAATGGTCATTGACGAGGGTGGCTGCTGAGTTTTATTTGTAAAACCTAATTATATAAAGATATTGTTGGAGTGGACATGAGAATGCATCATAGACGTTATTGTAGTGCATTATTATTTTGGACAAAATATATTCAATTGCTTACATATAAAATCTGTTGGTTTTGTAATGAAATTTCCTACGTGGGTTTTGGAGAGTCAAATTCAATCACTATTTTAAAAAGTTAAAACAGAGTTTTTTGGAGATTATTTTAAGCACTGAATAAAACGTTTTAACCAAATTACATGTGATGGTCATTGTAATCTCATATATCTGATCAATTCTCCATCAGAATTCTGATATAAAATAGAGAGCATATTATATTTAGAGTCCGATGATGATGTTCCTAAATGATGCTAATTCATTTGGAGTCGTGATCTTCGGAGCATATACGAGTTTTAATATTCTCATGTATAACATGATTTGAATCTTGAATATAATATTTAGAAGTAATTTCTTCGAAGCTCTTAATAGCTCGAGGTAGATACGAATTTTCATTGCTAAAACTTCATCGGAAAATCAAGAAATGATGAATTTGATCTTGACAATTACATAAGAAGAAACTAACAGAACATTTTTGTCTTGTTTAGAACATGGAAAGTAACAACAAAGTCCTATAGAGGAATCTGATTACGAACAAGTATAGTAGGACAACCATGTGGAATTCAGCCGGCCTGCTAAAATATTATAGGACTGATGAGATAATTTAGTCAATGATCACTGAATTTTGCTATATGTTAAAAGTCCTATAGAGGAATCTGATTACGAACAAGTATAGTAGAACTTTGTTATAGCTTACTACTTGCTCACCGAAATTTAAAAGAGTGCTCGTTGCTTGCCTAAATGTGAAAAAAGTTATTCGTTGCTCATTGAACCATATATGGATTTTGATGTCTACCTACAATTTTCATTATCAGGAAAATTGCAAGTTCAAATCTCTCTTTTGTTTTTCAGTATTTATGTACTCCGGAGCCCTAGTAATGCAAACCAGATTACTTTTTCTTCACAGGCTTTTTATTTCAAAAAAATCACAGAATTCTCCAGTTTCAAGCACCTGGTCACAATTAGATGAAACAATAGATTATTCTCAAGTGTATATTGCACCCCTAGACCATCTGATGCAAGCCAATAAGATCGAAATTTTGCCTCGACAACCCAATATGGTAGATTTTGTTGTGTGCAGAGTATGTTACGGTTGATCCAAAAGCTGAAAGAGCGTTGTTTTATTGCTTTGTTGAGTCTCCAATGAATTCATCGACCATTTCTCTGGTTCTATTGTTAAATGGAGGTAAGAAAAATGGTTAAGAAGATGCAAAGCAAAGGTTAATGCTGTCCGAACGACTTTCTTCTTTTATCCAATCAAGTTTGGTCAGTTCAGTGTATCAAACGTGCCTTAAATATTGCTATATTTC